ATACTTTTCTAGAGAAGCAGCTTGTGGTTTATTGAAACTCAAAAGAGTTTCAACTTATCCTTTCGTAGGGAGATTCAAATTTCTGTTCGTTGCCCTGGGTTAGCCCCAAACCTGCTGAAACCAGTACCCCTAAGAAAACAGTGACTGTCCAGCATAACTATCCACTAAAGAACAGGATTTGGGCCATCACCTAAAACGGAGATGATGTAACTGCTAGGACAAAACTTAGTAAATTCTGATGTGTGGAGTTTAATGTTCATTGGTCCTTGTTACAACAGAAAACTTCACACTCTGTGTGTGTGTGTGTGTGTGTGTGTTTTTTGTTTGTTTGTTTTTTGTTTTTTGTTTTTTTTCCCCTTCAGAAATGCCTGTGGCACCAAATATTGCCTTGAAATCTGCAAGTAATAGTGTCTCACCTCTTCAAAATCTCAGTACAGAGGTTAAAATTCTGAACACTCTACCACAGCAGCTAGGACCAGAAGTTCAGGTAAGGCTTTAAATGAAATGACTCTGGAGGGGCATAGTTAACTTAGGCACTTAGACCCATGTACATACCATTCTGGAACATCAAGTTCAAATCTTACTGTGGGTAGTCTTGTCCCTTAGGAAAAACATGGTGCTTCTGGGTTCACTGAAGTTCTTTACAGAAACTCATGCCATACGCAAGCATGTTTTTTTGTGGTGTAGTTGGAGCCTATAAAAAACAAGGCCTGTTCTTGGTTTCTGAAACTAGATCCTGCAGCAATTTTCGTAAGCATAGGATTTTAGGCAATATAGGCCAAAACTGCTCCTATTTCCTTGCATTATGCAGCAAGGCATTTGATGCCAGATGTACTTGCATTTTCAGGTGGTGTGCGAGTGTATGTGGAATGGCACCCAATGGCTTGTTTTTAGGAAGCACCTTTACTAGTGCATTTCCACTGTTCTGCCTGTGTACTGAGAGCACTGTTGCCACTGAGCTGGGATATGGAGTGTTTGGGTTCTCTTACTCCATGGATTGATTGTGGCAAAGCTTGACTGCGTGGTGTCTGGGATTCAGTCTAGGCATAGTCAAATTCTGTGGAGCGGAGCTTAAGCTCTGATAGATCATGTCTAGCACAGATGCTCTGGCATACACACAGGAATCTTTGCTTTCTGTAAACATTTCTGCCTGAAGTGCAGTTGCTTAACTGAGGGAAATGGATATGAATTTTTAAAGGCAGAAAATCCTAGCTGTATTTGTACAACTCGGTGCTTCTTGTAGGAACGCTCAGTATTTGAGAGCCGTGAGATGTATTACTGCTAGAGTCGAGAGAACTTTTTTGCAGAGACTGTAATGGGATCAAATTTGGATTTCCATTTTTCTAGTGGGAAGAAGCTTAAAAAAAACAAGGGTGCCCAGATACTGCACTAGGTTTGGGAGACATTATTGGGGTGCAGTCTCTTGAACTGCTCTCTGGAGTTGCTGCATGTGAGCTCAAACCAAGGAAATGTTTCTAATGTGCTCTGAGGGCTGTAAAGGAGGATTCTAGTGCAGCTGGTTTCTGAACCGTTGAAGCTTTGAGACCAATATCTGCTTTGGATTGAGAGAGAACCCATGAAACTGAAGTTGGTCCAATGTGACCTCCTTGTTGGGAGAACCAACTTGCTATTGCCTTTTGGAAGTACCTAAATGTACCACATGTGTCTCTCTCTTCCCACTGTTTTTGACGGAATCCAGATCATTTCTGGACAGTGGGTTCCCTGGTCTTGTTTAGCAGTGGTGGTCCTGATGTGTGGGCTTGGCACTGGTGTCCCTTGCATGCAGCATGAGACTGTCTTGTCCTTTGCTTTACAGGAAGCAACTGCCCCGCTGCCTTCCAGCATGCTGCTTGCCTCAACCAGGTCGTCTGTGACAACCTGCCCTAGCAGAGGTCAGTGTCTTCCTAAATGTGCATCTAACTAGGGTGGTGACAAAGCACAGTGGCCTGCTGGGTGGTTACAGCCTTAGGCTGGACTCATTGGACACCTTTTAAGCACTAAAAGACACTTTCTGTGAGAAGTTCAAGCACTGAGCTTGGGGAGGTGCCCTTAGAAAGCTATTCTTCTGTTGACTGAAGCTGCAGGAGCTACATAGACTTCAAAATGATGATACTGTGTCCCCAAAGGCCTAATTGGAATTCATAGCAAAAGTTAAATGAGTTTTTAAGTTTTCAAGCAGCAAAGGCACCACTTGATTTTTTTTTTTTTTTTTATTAAACTACATGATGCTAAGTGAGACTCCTCACTGCCTACTGACAGGCATAATTACTGTAATCTCTGTTTTTTGTGACTGGGGCTAATGGAGGGAGATGGAGGTGTAAGCCTTGCTACAGCCAGAAAGCACTGTAGTGCTCTTGGGTGCTCAGCATTTGGGATGGAAATTTAGAAGCAGACAGTGTTGTGGTGTGTTGTTGTTGTGCCTTTTTTTTTTTTTTTCCTTTTTTAATACTCTAATGTTCTCCTTTGCTCTCCAGGTGTCTCTGCAAACTGTACATGTGCTCCCATAAGTGGACCCATCCTAGGAGACATTAAACCTGTCCATTCCCTGAGCTCCAGCCAACAGGAGCTGCGTCCATACAGAAGAAGGTCTAGATCTTTAGAGAGTGCCCTTCAAAGCAAGGAGCTTGTAAGTTCTGTACATGAGCTGGCAAGCCCAGTCTGATACAACTGTAATGACTACATGCTCTAACCTATACAGTACACCAATATTAAGTTGAGGTATTATTGACTCCATGCAGACAATTTAGACAAGATTGGATGCTTTAGTGTCCCTATGGAGATTCTTTTTTCCAGCTTGAGGAAGATGAAGTAAAAGCTCTCCTCCATATGAAGAGAAAAATACAACTGCATTACCTGAAAGGTTCTTGTCAGGGCTTGCTCAAGCAGGCTCTTGGTGCAGTGCCCTGCTTTCTCCATCTCCCCATGTTCTGTCTAGACTTATATATTCACAAACATCCTTTAAATTGCATTCAAGTGCTAATAGAAAAAATGGACAAAATGGAGGGACTACAGTGTCAGTGACTAAGGACCTGCAATACAGGAGTTGTCATTGCTCTAGAAGCAATGCTAGGTTTTTGGTACAGCCCTGCTCTGCCCTGACAGGCTGTGCTCTGCCCTTGCCTCCTTCCTTTCTGTTTGCTTCCCTACGATCTCCTAAACTGACCACAGCTGTGTGATCTCTTTATTCAGCAGGGTGCTAGGGATGCAGGTGTGACCTGGACTTCACACCTGAATCAAAGCATTGCTTTCTTATCCCCTGTTCATGTGGGGATAGTGGGTCCTGGGGAAGGGAAGGTAAGGCAAGGCAGGCCAGTGCCATGGGAAGGGATCCTGTGCCCAGGTGAGTAGGGGCCAGTGTGCTACCTGTGCTGGGGTCTGCATTAAAGGGTAGGAATTCCCAGGGAAGGCTCTGGAGATGGAAATGAGCCTTGGAGGGGACCAAGGGACCTGTTTCTCTAATGAAGCATCAAGATGCTGTTTGATTTCTTGTCTAAGAGCTTGAATACTGTAGCAGTATTTCTGTACCAATTCCTTCTCTGGTAGAGCAGTAGTTTCTCTGAAAGTGTCAGCCGATAGGGGCCATCCTAGCAGAATGAAGCTTTGGGAAGGAATGCTTTTGAGCTTCTTGAGACCCAGTTTTGAGGATGACCACCTCAAATGTGTGCTTCCTTCAGCTTTCTTGGATGCTTAACTTCTGTCCTTGCCTAGGACTGTCCCTTTCCTACCAAATGGCCATTGCCAACGATTGCTGAACTAATTGGAATCAGATATGCAATGATGGTGCTGGAGGAGGAAGGCTCTCCCAGAAGGTGTGGCGATGGTGTCTTTCCAAGAGCCAAGGTGCGTTTCCTCTCCTTGTCTCTGTGCCTTTCCACAAGCTGGCTGGCTTTGTGTCCCTCCATGCCCAACTGCCGAAGTTGTTCTCCGACTGACCCTAGGCTGTTTAAAATCTTGATGCTTGTGCTGTGATGGCTACTAATCAAGCTTAAGTTGCTGAGTGATTTGATTAGGAAACTACTCAGCCTTCTATTCTCCTCAGCCTCTGCTTGATGCTTCTTGTCTGCTGTTTCCAACCAGCAGAGCCGTCTGCCCTTCCTCTTGGTTGGCTCTGAAGTGACAAGTAATTAGTTGTGATTTTTGGTACTGTTATACAGGGAGGCAAAGGCTCTTAGACTCCATCAGCTGACTTGTGCTGCAAGCTCTTCTCTGCCCCAAGCTTTCTGTCCCTCCCTGAGCAAGGAGGTTTGAGACGGTGCAGGGCAGCCAGCTCTCTGCTCACCTTAACTGCTTGCTTATTCACTAAGGCTGTGCTGGGTTGTCTCAGCACCTTAGAACGAATGTTTTGAGGACAAGCCCTTGGAATGGCATAGATGGGAGGATGCCCTTGTTGTTTGGCTTTGGGGGTCAGCCTCTTGCTCTGTCATTTCTTAGCAGTATAGACAAGGCCAAAGGGTTCCTGTTGACATCATTGTGCTACTCCCCCAGTATCTTGCTCCAGAGTTCCAGAGACTGAATTTTTGCTCGCTTCTCACTGCAGTTGCCAGCCCTGCTTTAACTTGCCTCTTCTCAAATGGCTCTTTGCCTCCTTTGTGTTCTCACTGCTGCAAATTTTTTAGTTTTCTCAAGCTCCAGTTCTCAAGATAACATCACTTCTGACTGCCAGCTGTGTATGAATATGTTTTATAAAGCTCAAGCGACTCATCAGCTTCCTTATGACTCATTTTTTTGCTTCAGGATTGGATTCAAATTTGCCCTGACTTAATCTCTTTGGGATTGCTGCAGTCTACCTCAAAGAATGTCTCTCTCCCCTCTCTAACTAGCTACTGTTACACTCTTACACAATGCAGCTATTGTTTATTCAAGAGGCTTTTTTTTTAAACCCCCATTGTCTAGCAGCTGCTCTAAACCTCTACATCATAAAAATGTAGGCTTACAAATAAGACTTCCTTGCCTTTTTAGTTTCTAATACCTGTGTCTCTGCTATCCTTCATTGGATCTCTGTTATTTTATGTGGATCTAAAGTATTTAGGCGGTTGGTTTATTTGGAAAGCAATTTGGCAGGCAGCAGATACTGTTGATACAAAGATATTTCCCATTGGCATTCACTAGTAACTCTCCTTTCCACAGATCTGTTTCAGCTGCCGTAAGCAGATGTTCCTGAAGTGGCCTTACAGCTGTTATCTCTGCAGCAGGTGAGATGGTACAAAGGCACTGAATGAGGAGGAAGAAAGAGTCAAAGAGCTGTAAAGAAAGCATGCAGTATCCAAACCGGTGTAGTGTTTAGATAGGAGCAGGTTGCTCGCTTTACTATCCTAGGCAGGCTGATGTGTCTATACCTACAGATGACTTGGGAAAACTTTGTGTCTAAAGTAGAACCTTAGTTTTGACTCTTTGGTTTAAATCAACAGTAACCGTATTTACTGGGCAGGTAGTATAGTTAACTCCTGGAAATCACTCTTCTGTGGAAAGCAATTTTAATATAAAAGTTGCATTTAACTTGAGAGAGTCTTCACCAGAATTTTTTTCTTCGGGACTGGAAAAGTGAATTACAGGCTCTGATTGAAAAAACATTTGGATGTGTTTGTATCCACCTGTGAGATGGTTTCCTCTGTGAGGGAGGAAAAGAAGAACTTGAGGCTAGTTCAGCCTCACTTAAATCTATTTGTTGTAATAGTGAGGCACTGATTTGCTTAGAAATAAGCAAGCACTTGCTGGAGAATTGTAACTGTGGTATTAGTGCTGGGTGAAGAGTAAAGGGCACTTGCAGATAAAGCCTTCAACTTAAGAATGCTGACACACTTCAGATGATTTAAACTACCACAAACAGGAGTGCTAGCAAAATGAGCAAGCTTTGAGCTTTCCTGTTTACTTTGCCATTAAGTCATTGTGCCGTAATCAAAGTACAGTTTGCTTGGGAAACTCACCCTTAGCTGTAGCTTTTGCATCTGCTGAGCTTTACTCAAATAATAATTCTGGGAATTTCTTTCTCTTAGTGTTGTCTGCTGTGACTGCTGCATCAAGGCAAGTCTGGTCTTTACAACAGAATATGGATTTTGTTTTCTATTCCCCCCCTCCCCTCCCCACCTCCCTTAGTCGTAGGAAACTATCCTTCATCCAACTGATACCTCAGATCTGCCCTCTAACTTGTTTCTGAGAAAAATGGAAGAAACAATTTTGACTTGAAAAAACTGTCAGGATGCCCAAGCTCTAAAAGTTAAATACGGAATCAAATCACAGATATGCCTTGTTATACTAAGCATCCTTTCATCCTGATTATTCTGCTCTATTTATAGGAGGGTCAGGATATTTAGTATCACAGTGCCCATCTTCTAAATGGGCTAACAGACCAATTGTGTGCATGCTAATTTTCCTGCTAAGAAGGAGGCTTCTTGTTCCAAGGCAACTGCTGTGTTATGATTCCAGATGTCCATGCCCTTCAGAATGTGTGTACATCTTCCACTGGGCTTCTTAAAACTTCTGAGACTCTCCAAAGAGGAGGATCCATCTACTCAGGAGCAGAAGAACTCAGACTTGCTGCATGAACTGGAGCACTGGAAGTGTTCTAGGTAAGTTGAGACAGCTGTGTTCCAAGGGTATTATCAGTCACTTGTATATACAAGTCAGCAAATGTGCTGGCAACTGTAGCAGATGGTCCTGTGCTGAGGAGCTGGATGTCATGCTGAATGATCAACCAAGCCACTAGTCTAACTGATTTCACAGCTCTTGGAAAATGCTGTGGGCTTTAGGTGACCTATAAGAAGCTGGGTAGATGCTCTGAAGTCCATTTTGCATTTTAGCTGTCAAGTTTCCAGCACTGGTTCAGAGTTGCCCATACTAGCCTGGCCTTACAAGGTTCCTGGTGACAGCTTCATTTCTGTGAGAATTTCCAGAGTCCATGTATTCTATCTATACTGCTGGGCATCTTTCACTATGACCCAGGGGTAGCCCCCTCAGGCCTACAACTAAAAATATGCTCATCTTGGATAAAGCTGACCCAACAGTAATGCACAAATAGCTTCTCAGTCTTCCTATGTGTGCAGTAGATGGTGTGTGGTGTTTTTTTGTTTGTTTTTTATTTTTTTTTAATTATTATTTTTTTTAATAGCATATACAGGGCTGGAAACAGTCTCTGGTCTGTCCTTTCCAAATCAAAGTTTCATATTGTGCTAGAAGAACAGGTATATTTTCCCTCAGACACCATTCTCTTCTGTAACCAAAATACTTCAGAACAACAAATACTGGGGCTTTATCTAACTCAATTTGCCAAAAATCAGGGCAGTGTTACCTGTTGTCCACACTGAGTGGACAGAGTTTTGGTCTGACTCAATGCAGACCTGTGGAAGAGGCTTTACAGATTAAGTTGCTGCTATGCTTTCAGATGGCAAAAAGGCCTACTACTTCTATGGTTACAGGGACCCTGCGCACAACTGTGAAACAGCCACGGATGTCTGTTAGACAGTTAGCTGAAGTAGTGTTGGTCAACAGAGGTGTCAATAAATGAAGCTGTTCTGGGGCGTAGTAGTTTTCCAAAGTGGAAGCAGCTGCTCTGAGTTTGTGCATTTAATAAAATCACTCAGCAGTACTGGACAAGACTTAGAGGAGAGGTGCAAGAGCACTTGTACCTTCTAACGGAACCCTGGGTGAGCTATCCTGCCCCTCTTTCCCCTCTGTTTCAGTGTGCCTGTCACATTGGAGCCCCACTGCCTAGCGCAGCCCCTGTGCCGTTGCACACGGACTATGACAGACTGGCTGTCGGTAGACATCTGTACTCAGTGTGAGCAGTATCTGCTGAATGTGGCTTCTGCTCAGCAGCACAGCATCTCTCTTGGGAGAATGTCCAGGTCTTGGACCAAAGTGGAATGAAGGGCTCTGCTGTACATCTTCTGTCATTTGCTCTGTACTTGAAGTCAATGGAACACCTTTATGTACATATGGGCATAAAGGCCTGACTAAAAGACCTCCCTGCTATTTTTTTTCTAAGCGGGAAGCACAGTTAATATTTATGCTGTAAAGTATTATATAACATTGTGTGGCTTTTAGAACTGTTTTAAATCTTTTATGTTTTTGGGGCAAATAAATGTTGAAGCACTGTCTCTAGCTTTCCCTCTTTCATACCTGCATTTGTCATGATTTTGTGGCAATGTTTGTATTCATTGCTAAGCAGCCTTTGTCCTATGTCATGAGAACAGGGGATCTTCTAACCAAAAAGCTCTGTTCCTGAGAGGCTTTGAAAGTAGAGCTGTCAGCTATGTGATCATAGCACTGCATTCTTGCAAGCACCTCTTCCTCCCTCAAACTCACAAAAAATCACTTGAACTCACACGTATGATGCATGTAAAATTGTAGTGATGGTTGTTGGATGGCCTCCTTGCTTAGGAAGTAGACTCTTTCACTTTGTGTGTGCACATTCCACCTCTCTTGAGTAGCTAGTATCTCAACCCCATCATCACCTGAAGGGATGGCTGTTCTCTAGATATTATGCTTTGCTCTGCCTTTAAGGTAAACTAGACTATTAGAGTGTGTGATGCACTGGAAAATAAAGAGCATTTTAGTAAATTCTTTGTGTAGTTACAACTAGAAGTGACATTTGATAGACTGCTGCTCCCCAGGAGCTGCCTGTTTGGAAGGGGTGTAGGTAATCTGGTTTGTCTTCATAGGATTCTCCCTCTGTGTTCTGCAGGATACACTCTCTGCAGATAGTGTCTACCCTCTGGATAGGCAGTTGTGAAGGATAAAATGGACTTGTAGCTGGAATAAGTCATCTTGAACAAAGCAATACCTAGGCAGGGAGAGTGAAGGGCTAGTGTCTCTAGAGAGTAGAGAAGAGATGGTGAGGCTGAACTCAAGGTCTGTCTCTAAAGTGCCTGTGGGATTTGCTAAAAGGGTTAATACCTCTCCCTAACTTGTGCTGGCCTAGCTCTACTTGCCTCTAAACTGCTTGTCTGCAAGATGCAGCTTACGTGCAGGTTTAGGCAAGCTCTGCAAGTAAATGAATGGGGGAAGCTGGAGCTGTGCTTCCTTTTGGAGCATGTTCAAGTATTCCTTTTCCTTCCCTCAATTAGGAGGGGTGCAGCCTGTCTGCCCAGGTCCTCCATGGCATGTGCTAAGAGCTGGTACTCCTGGGAGGCAATCCACATTGGGCAGGTGGGCTCTGTGCAGGCTGCAGGGAATAACTGAGATGCAGGCAGCCAAGCTGCAGCTGTGCTTGCTGGCAAGATGGGAGCCCTGAGGGGAGCTGGGAACAGGAGGTGCTCTTGGACACAGGTGGAATGAGGTTGTAGAGACAGAGGAAGAAATATGCTGGGATCAGCCTGATTTGATTAACCTCACAAGAGTATCCCCCAGCCAGGGCCCAGCAGAGCAGAGAGCAGGTAATAAGGCAGATGTGAATTTACTGGGAGACCAAAGGCAGCTTAGGGACCTGCTATGGTGGCAGGTGTGCTCTTTCCACTGGCTTCCCTCTTGCTACCTTGTTAGCCTTGTGGGGTGAGTAAATGCTCTCAGTGCAGAACCAAGAGGCTAAAGGAGAGGGAGGGTAGATGCTAAAGGAAAGCTTGACCCCTACAGCCAATACCTGAGGTTGCAAACTGCCTCCAAGGCGTGTGTTCCTATTGCTCCTCTTCCTTGTGCATTAGCTGTTTTGCTTCATGAGTGGATTGTAATAAAGCCTTTGTCCCCAGTTCTGCAGTGACTTGTATTCCTCCTTGAACTCTGGCCTGTAACCATTAGCCCCAAACTGCAACAAAGCTTGACAGCTTGTGGGGCCAGACTTAGCAGAAATGCATATCTGCTACAACGCCCAAGGAGCCTGTTCATCCCCTCTTGGCTGCCTTTCCCTCGCACAGGGGAGATTTTTGGAGGGAAAGGGATACTGGGATAGTTGTGAGCCACGGGGAGGGTGGAGGCAGGGTGCTGAAGGGGAGGCTCCTGCGTGGGACAGATCCAGGCCCAATGCCTCCTGGGGGGAGCAGCATTTCTTAGGGCTGCAGAGGTATAAAATCCATTTGATGCAGGAGCCCCTGAAAAGTGATGGTTTGGAGGGAGTATCTCTTCAGTATCGCAGCAGGGTTTATTTTGTTTTTCAGTCTCTTGTTGATTCCTCTCATGCTTATTACTGTTTTGGTGAAACCTAGCTCTGGATGGGGGGAAGCTCAATGAGCTTCATCTCACCGAGGAAAGGGGCTATGTCAGGGCACTGCTGCAGGATCCCTTCACCCACTTTCTACCCCCTCAGCGCACAACTGCAGTCTACAGTCCCCTCCCAGTAGTGAATCATGACTGAAAAACAGCAAAAGAATTCTAATCGTAACCACTTGCCATGACAGGCATGTCTTTTTCACGGCATAAAGTATGATTGAGCACTGGATATAAGAATATAGAGAACCTTCCTGCCAGACTACCCCAGCATGGAGGGAGAGCTCTGTGCGCCTTTTATTTTGTCCCTCCGTGAAATCTAGGTGTCCCCCAAGCGCCGAGAGCTGCCTCCTCTGGGCAGGGGTGCTCAGCCAGGGCCGCTCGGGCTGCAGCAGCGCGATGTGTCTGCTCGAGCTTAGGTTCACCCTGCTCTCCCAACGCTGCAGCAGCAGCCGCGGCCGCCGCGCGGGGGCAGCACGAGGGGACCCCGGGAGCTGCGCGGGCTACGTGGAGACAGAGCGGCTTCCTCAGCGGTTTCTGAGGAATAAAATACAGTTTTGATGTCTGCTTTATTTTCTTTTACGTGCCTGCAGGCTGGTTGGTGAGGGCTGGTGACCGCTGTGGGGAGGCGAGGGTGCCTGGGTTAGGGGAAGGGGAGGTAGAGGTGACGGGAAGAGAGGCAGTAGGGGCAGGTTAGAAGCAGGAGAGGCCCCACGGCTGTAAAGCCATGTGGTGTTTGAAGTCATTTTTGTGAACGTTTCTTGTAGAAATAACTACAAATTCACTCGAATAATGGCCCCCAGTGAACTATAGCCTGCCCCTGAAATGCAAGGACCACTTGAACAGGGTGACGTCCTGTGCTCAGTTTAGCTGTGCTCAGTATTTTTTATAACTAAAAGATGTACAAAGAGACAACTCACATGTGAAATAAAATTACAAACATGGTGTTGGACAGGATTAGAATTCAAGAACACCTGGAAAAAAATGGGGAGGATGGTGTGGAAGAAACAGCATGCAGCTTGGTTGGAGGGTCCTGCAGTTCAGCAGCAATATGAATCCCAGTGATGTGCGGGGGGCAGTGACAGGTTAAGTGGGAATTCTTCAGAGAAGGATCAAAAGCTGAACACAAGTCAGCTAGACCACGGTGTAGAGGTGGTGGGAAAATGAGTCGAGCAGAAATGTAGAGTAATTGGATCCAGCCCAGAGGAGAGCAAGGAGAACAGGCAGAAGGAGAAACCAGTACCTGCAAGGAGAGCTTGGAAGAACTAAAATTCTCTCATCCAAATGAGGAGAGACCTAAAGGCTTTAGGCACATAAAAGGAAATAATCTTTTCTTTTTCTCTGTGATGGAGAAGATTTAAAAAAAGGGGGGGGCTTAAATCACAGCAGGAAGGACTCAATTTAGATGTTAGGAAAAACTTTCTAATGACAAAGATAATGAAGAATAGACTGCCTGGGGATGGGAGAGCTTTAAGATCAAGTTAAGCAACATCTGTCAGGGATGTCCAAGTTTTAGGTGATCCTGCTTTAGGTTAGAGGGATGGACTAGACTGACCTTTCAGAGTTCCTTTCAGCCCTAATTTTTCAGTGGTTCTGCAGGTTGACATTAATCTTCTTAATGGTATTTAAACAGTCAGCAGCTTCTCTTAAGTAACTGCTAGCAAGTCTCCTCTCTTGCCTGCGGTTTAAAATTAACTTAATTTCCATGCATCACTTTCACCCTCCAGCTCTCAAGTCCTGCACAGCCAACCAGCAGCTGAATTCCTTGAGTGCTTGTTGGTACCTTGCTTGTGGGTCTCTAGCTATCCATAGTGAAAAAGAAGGGTTAGAAATACTAAATATAGGTGGCTGTCTTTTTGGTGTGAGGATGTCCTCCTTTTCTGTCTGTATACATAGGGGCTATTTTCCCCTTTCTTGCAATAGCATTAACTGTGATGCAGTTACTTCATCTTGAATGCCTTCCTTGGGCTCCAGGGACCCCCCTTTCTATGTAGCCTGCAGTTCTGGGGGCAACTTTTCTTTTTCTGTGGCACTGGAAAGGAAGGAGCCTCCTCTGACGAAGATTGGCATATTTCTGAATGAAGTTGCATCAGATCGTGGGTCTTTGGTGGTTGTGTCACGGATCAAGCCTTGAGTGTCCAAGTCCAGACGCTGCCCAACGTGTGTGGGCACTTACACATAACAATGCTGACGTGTAACAGCAGGTGTTGTAATTAATAAATTGTCCACAGGCAATCTCTGCTCGAATGGCACAAACCCCAGAAGGAAGGAGTCAGTGTTTTGGAGTTGGCCCTCAGTCTGGGAGCTTGCTCTTCTACCCTTTCAAAATACTAGTGAAAGTGAAGCAAGTTTTTCATCCTCTATACTGACAAAAATGTGGGGAAAATGCACGGACACGCTGACCATCATCTACGATCTTTTTGTAGTACTCCTAATCCTCCGAAAACAGAAGAGCCAGTGAATGTCCTGAAGGCCGGGGTGTTTGCAGATTTAGTAGTTGTTTGCCTAAAACAGAAAAGATGACCTTTCTATCACTGAGAAAAACTGTCCCCAGGGTGAGGGCGAACCACTTTTGGAAAGTCCTCACCTTTTGAAAATAACTTCTTGCCAAGTGCAAGTGTTACCATCAGAACTGGCTAGTTAATGGCATCAAGATGAGCTCTGCCTCTGTATCACAGCTAAAAGTTCAGCAATAGAGAATACATCTGTACATGAAAGCAGACTATACA